TTGAGACAGGGTCTCACTATGTAGTTGAGACTGCCGTGGAACTCACTATGTAGACCATGCTGGTCTCGAACTCACAGTGATCCTCCTGCCTCAGCCTCCCAAGTACTGGCATTACAGATGTGTGCCACTACATCCGGCTGTTTGTTTTTTAAGACAGGGTCTTGCTATATAGTTCAGATGAGATCAGGCACGTTCAGGCTGTAGACACTGCTATATAGTTCAGGCTGGCCTTAAACTCACTGTTTAGCCCAGGCTGGCCTCAAACTCATGGAGATCCTCTTGCCTCTGCCTACGGAGTGCAGGGATTACAGGTGTGCACCACCATGCCCAGCTAATTACCTTTAAAGATGGAAAAATTCAGTTTATATAACCTTTGAAGGTGCACATCTATAACCCCAGCTACTCAGGAAGCTGAGGCAGGAGGATCACAAGTTCAAGGCCAGCCTGGGCAATGTAGGAAGACCCTGTCTGAAAATAAAAAAGGCTGGGGATGTAGTTCAGTGTGAAAACCCTGGGTTCAATCCCCTGTACCACCAAACCAAACCAAACATAACCCACAACATTACAAAGGATACGAATGAACAGTCAGATGGGAGAGTGTTCAGGGCAAGGTTGTATGAGAAGCAGCATGGAGCTCTGATGCCCTCTCTGGAACCTCCCTGGGTTCAACATCTGGAAGCTCTCTGAACTCTTCCCTTTTAGGTTTTTCGGGGGCTTCATTATGCAGGCATGACTGATTACCTCACTGGCCACTGGTGGTCAGCTCAGCCTACGGCCCCTCTCCCCATCGCGGAGGTCTGAGTGGGACCCACTCTTTAATCGTGCCTTGGTCTCCCTGGTGACATGCCCCCACCCCAAAGGGCACCCCAGACACCAGAGATGCTCATCACTCTAGAGAGTCCAAGGTTTTTAGGAACTGTGTGCCTGGGACCAGGGCCTGCGACTGTCTGCATGTGCGCATGCGTGCATGGGGCGCACAAAGTTTATAGCTGTTTTATGTTTTGGGGGTGTGGTTTGAGGATCTTGAGTTTGAAACCAAGGCCTTGTGCCTCCTAGGCAAGCACTGTACCCATGAGCTACACCCCCAACCTGTATGTATTTCTTATTGTATCACAGAATCACATGTAGGGAGCAAAGTGCTCTACTGGTGTAACTGATTATTTCCAGGGTGCTTATCAGATACTAAGCAATGGAGAAGTTACAATGTAGAACCTGACTCACCAGTGATCACCACAGTTGAATTGGACACTTGGGAAAGGAATAGTGATAGGCATGTAATGAAAAAGCAACTAAATTGGCCATCAGAAGATTTTTGTCCTGGAGCAAGCACTATAACCTTAAGTAAGTCACTTTTCCTCTCTGGATCTCTGTTAAAATAACTACACTAAGACCTCAGTTCTATAATTCTTAGGGACTTCCTCTGTAACTTTCTAGGCAAGTGCTCTGCTACTGAGCTATACACCCAGCCCTCTGTAACTTCCTATGCTATGGAATTCTTTGGGTTAATGGGAGACCATGAATATTTAGGTCACCAGAAAAGGAGTTTTCTGTCCAATGCAGCAAGGTCATCTTGCCTTGAAAGACAGTTTGGGAACCATTGTTTTTCCCAGTGGCCCTTTTACCTCCTTTGTAGCTTCACGACTGTTGAACAAGTTGTGCAAATACCCTTCCCTTGCCGCCCTCCTTGCTCCCTCCTTCCCTTTCTCTTTTCGTTTTCCTTTTGTTTCCTCTCCCTTTCTCTCCCTCCCTCCTTACCCCCCCCGCCCACTTACTTTCTTTCATGGAATTTGGGTTTGAACCCGGGCCCTATGCACTGAGTTACATCCCCATCCCTTATTTTACTTTTTGAGACAAGGTTTCACTGAGTTGCCCTGACTGGATTCAAACTTCTAATCCTTCTGCCTCAGCCTCCCAGGGTGCTTGGATTATAGGCATGTACCACCAGACCCAGTGGTTTTTTTGTTTGTTTGTTTTTTGGTGGTATTTGTTTGTTTGTTTTTGTTTATTTGTTTGTTTGTTTTGGTACTAGGGATCGAACTTGGGTCCCTGCGCTTGCAAGGCAGGCGGTGGAACCACTGAGCTGAATCCCCAGCCCTGTTTTTGTTTTTTTGAAATAAGGTCTCTATGTAGTAGTCAGGGTGTCCTCAAACTGCTATGTGCTCTCCCAAGTGCTGGGATTCCAGGCATGTGTCCTCATGCCTTTTTTGGTGTGTGTATGTGTGTGTGTGTTGTTTTGAGACAGGATCTTGCTACATAGCCCAGCCTTGAGCTTGCTGCATACACCCAGGCTGGCCTCAAACTTAGGATCTTCCTGCCTCGACCTCCCGAGTTCTGGTCCTTATTTCATCTATAAACCCAGGCAGGGGTATTTGAGCTATAAAGCCAACTGGATGATCTCAGAGGAGTAGGAGTATAGAATAGTGGGGATATGGCTTAGTGGTGGAATGATTACTTAGCATGCATGACGTCCTGTATTCAGTGCCCAGCAACTCACACACACACACTTGAGTGGTTACCAGAGTCTGGGAAGGGTACAAGGGAAGGAGAGATGTAGAGAAGATGATTAATGGGTACAGGGGTGCATAGGAGAAATAAATCCCAATGTTGTATAATATGATAGGATTCTTATGGTTGACAACAATTAATTGAAATTTCAAAATAGCAAGTAGAGAAGATTTTGAATGCCCCTAACACAAAGAAGTGCTATTTGTCTGAGGTAATATATATATGCCAATTACCTGATACAGTCATTACACATTATATACAGGCATTGAAATACCATACTATATCACATAAAATACGTAAAATTATGATGTATTATTGTGTTTGTTTTGGGGTGTTTTTGTTTGTTTGTTTGAGATGGGGTCTTACTATGTACCCCAGCCTGGGCTTGGCCTCACTATGTAGCCTAGGTTGGCCTTGAACTCACAGCAATCCTCCTGCCTCTGCCTCCTGAGTGCTGGGATTAAAGGTGTGAGCCTCCATGCCCGGCTGATGTATCATTGTGGATATAGCTTTAATGTATAATTCTTGGGCTCAATCCCCAGTACTCCCTGCCCCAAATAGTCATACACACATACACATAGGGGCTGGAGATGTAGGTTCAAGGTAGGGCAGGTGCCTAGCATGCTTGAGGACCTGGCTTTAAACCTGCGCCTAAATTTGGGAAAATGAAAAAAATAAAAAGGACCAGTTGGTGGCTTCTTTGGTTTGTATTTTGCTGATAGATGACAATGCCAGAGAGGTTCTAGAGTTGAGTAAAGAAGAATCACAGTTTAAAAAAGATTCTGAACTGTTGCCTTGCCTTTAATTCTATAATAAAATACAATTACTGGAGAAGATGTTTAAAATTATCCAGTCTAGTTATTTTCAAAACAGTGGAACTGGTTATGGTGGTGTAGGTGGATAATCCCAGCACTTGGGGAGGCTGAGGCAGGAGGATTGCAAGTTCAAGTCCAGCCTGGGCAACTTGGTTATTTAGTGAGACCCAGTCTCAAAATAAAAAAATAAAAAGCAAAAAAATAAATAAAAAATAAAAAGCCATTGGGAATGCAGCTCAGTGCAAAGGCCCTGGGTTTAATCTCCAGTACCAAAAGAAATAAAGACAGATATTGGAGTGATTTGCCTGAGGCTACGCAGTAAAACAGGGCAAGACCACATGTCATCTGACTCCCCATTTAATATACCAAATACTGTACTTCCCTCCACACGGTCTTGTTTTTTTCCTCATAGACTTGGAACGCCAGTTGGAAGAGCAAAAGAAGCAAGCCCAGGATCATAGGCTGAAATCCCAGACGGTTCAAAACGTGGTACTGATGCCTGTGAGCACTCCTAAACCTCCAAAAAGGCCCCGGCTCCAGCGGCCGGCCTCCACCACTGTCCTGAGCCCTTCTCCTCCTGTCCAGCAGCAGCCTCAGTTCACAGTCATCTCTCCCATCACCATCACCCCGGTGGGTCAGTCCTTCTCCATGGGCAATATTCCCGTGGCCACACTCAGCCAGGGCTCCAGCCCTGTGACTGTGCACACGCTGCCTTCCGGCCCTCAGCTCTTCCGCTACGCCACAGTGGTCTCCTCTGCCAAGAGCAGCTCACCAGACACAGTGACCATCCACCCTTCGTCTAGCTTGGCACTGCTAAGCTCCACCACCATGCAGGATGGCAGTACCCTGGGCAACATGGCTACCATGGTGAGCCCTGTGGAGCTGGTGGCCATGGAGTCCGGCCTGACCTCAGCAATCCAGGCTGTGGAAAGCGCCTCAGAGGACGGGCAGACCATCATTGAAATTGACCCAGCCCCGGACCCTGAGGCGGAAGACGCTGAGAGCAAAGCAGTCATCTTGGAGACCGAGCTGAGGACTGAGGAGAAAGTCGTCGCTGAGATGGAAGAACATCAGCATCAAGTCCACAATGTGGAGATTGTAGTCTTAGAGGACTGACTGGGATCTCGGGACCAGGAGATATGTTTTGGTTTGGAATTTTAATTATTTGTTTATTTTTATCATTGTCCCACTCATGTCCACATAGGATCCTTTTTTACAAAAACAAAATCTCATTGTTGTAACTAAAAATGTTGGGTTTCTCCCATCCTCTCATTGAAAAATGGACAAAACAAGCTACCCTTCTGGAAGTTGAGAGGTCACTCAATGTCCTAATCATCTTGTTCTAAGAAAGTTATTTCTTTTAGAGGAGGCATCGAAGTAACCAGCAACCCTTTACAGACTAGTCCTATCTGTGTACACTTGGTCTCATGCTTGTAGAGATGCATTGAGCAAACTCTGGAACACAGATCTGACATTGGAAAGCCACCCACTGGCATGCAGATGCAGAAATATACTTTCTTTTGTATCCTTGAAAGGCTCTGAAACAAACGAAAGGTGAACTCTGCATGGAGGAGAAGGTAGCACGCCAGCAGCAGCTTAGAAAGGGAAGAGCTTTGGTGAGGATGGGGCAAGGCTATTACCTTTCTTTCCAAGATGTAACTGATGCCCTCTCCCCCATAGATCTCTGAGGGTGGCTACCAGGTGTGCTGTGTTGGTGGTAAGCAGAAGGGTAGATCACCACAGAGTAAGCAGCAGCAGTGGCTTATGGTTTTGCAGATGTGGAAATCAAGGAATACCACAGCTGTGCTTTGGGGTTCAAAGTGATAGCTCATGTTGCCCCCAACCTTGTCAAAGCACTTACCCTCCTAGGGTCAGCCTAGGATCAGCCCATTCATTTGCAAACTATGTGATGTGGTATAAACTGCTCTGTTTCTTTAACCTGTGGCTGTCCTGGGGCTGGGGCTCCAAAGGCATCATTTTTATTGCATGACACCGGGAGCAGGGGAGTTCCTCACCCAGACCAGCTGCCGTATTTGGTAGGGCTTGTTTTGTTTTTTGTTTTGTTTTGTTGGAACCAAAAGCAGCCACTCATTTGGTGCTTCCTCTAGTTCTCCCCTCCATCCCTCAACGCGAGATGGCATCTGTCTCGTGAGTCCCACACTCTTCAGCTTTTTGGCTGACTTGGAGAACAGTGACAGGTGCCTGCCTGCCTTCATCCCCTTTTGGACTCATTTATACCGCAGATGTTTCTGTGAGAGATTGAGCTCATACAGAGCCTTAGGCTTGGCAGGGAAGACTGGCAAACGCCCCCAGCCTTTCCTGAGGCACCGAGCTGGACTCTCTGGGAAAGAAACACTGTCTGCAACATTATATTATAGAACATGCACCAGGAACATCAGTAATAATGTCGTGGGGGGGGGTGTTCTCTCTCTCTCTCTCTCTCTCTCTCTCTGTCTCTCTCTTTCCTCCATAAATGTTTGTATATTTGGAGCTGGGCCATTTTCCATACTGTGATTCCTTCTCTTTGACCCCCTTCAATGTTTGGGGCAAGAGTGGACCCTGGTTTTATTTCTTTGAATGCATTGTTTACTGCACTAGGAAAAATATAGGGAACAGTAGGCAACTGAAAGGAAAAATAGGTCAAAAAGGAAAGCACATACCTTAGGAATGGGCAGATTTTTTTTTTCTATTAAAAGCAAAAATTTGACCTGTAGTTTCCCCCTTTTTTGTTTTTTGTTGTTTTTATTTCCTTCAAAGAAGGCACCTACTTGAAGCCATATTTCTCTCAACAAATGTTGGGAGCCCTATCAAGCAATTGAAAACTGCATCCTACCGTCTCAGAGAAGCCTTCTAACTTCGGAAGGTCTCTCTAAAAGCTGTAAAAGTGAGATTTCTGAACCCCATGTAGTAGTGGATTTCATCTTTAAAATGGGGTTCTATTTTTCTTTTTAAAATATTTAATAGAACTTAGCACTCAACTTAGAGCAAACTTTTGGCCCTTTATATATCTGTAAAGACAGAAATGGCTTTTGTTTCCTGCTTCTTTAGTTTTTCTCTTGGTACATAAACAAAGCAAAATTTCTAAGACTGACACTACTGCCTAAACCTAGAAGGGCACATGTCTTCCCTAGTGTGGTCTTTAGGGATGCTTTTCTCTTCTTCAGAGACGAGAGACCCGATTGGGATAGCAGAGGTGCTCTAGAGAATACCAACAAACTAACTCAGGTTCCTTTCTTTCTTCCATCAGAACTGTTGGTAGCGTTTTAAGGGAGTTTAGGCATTATGCTTCCAAACTGAAGAGATCTCCTTAAGACAGAGCCTGTTTACCTTTGTTCTGAATATTCCAGTAGGGGAAAAAAATGAGTTTATTGTTTTCCTGGTCTTCCAATAGCCTGTCATTACTAGCTGCTATGGTGCCTGTTGTTGAGCGTGGGTTCCCTCGTGGCCCCAATCTAGATGATTTTAGATGGGGTGAGTCATATGCAAACCACTGATGTGTGCATAAGCAGTTGGAATGGATCACTCCTCAGGCTGACTTGACAATAGCTATCTTTCTATTCATTCATTAAATAAACATTGCTAAGTACCACCTATGTGCCAGGCTTTGTGCTAGGCACTGGCAGTGCAGAGATGAAGACATGGTTGCGGCACTCAAGGAATTCCTACCCAGACCTCTGGAATCAAGAACTATGTTCCAATATGGTTGGTTTCTTTTGGAATCCTATGTGTATTTTTGTGATCCTATATATTCTGTGCATTGAGAAACATCCTAAAAAAAGTTTATAGATTTTAGCAGACTACCAATGGCACAAAAAGCCAGAGCCACCTCTCCTGAAATACTGAAAGAGGTCATTATATTCGGGTGAGTGCAGTGATAGGGCTGCTGGCCCAGAGTTGAGAAAACAAAGGATGAACACCCAACCCAGCATGAGGGTAGGGGTGGGGTTCAGCAAATGTGGGGTATTTTTTTTTTTTTTTTTTTTTTTGCAGTACCTGGGATCAAACTCAGGACCTTTCATTTGCAAGGCAGGTGCAATGTCAATAAGCTAAATCACTGCCCTGCCCCCGCCTTTGAGACAGGGTTTCACTCTGTAATTCAGGCTGGCTTTGAACTCCCTATGTAGCCCAACCTGGCCTTGAACTCCCAGCAATCCTCTTGCCTCAGCCTCCTGAGTGCTGAGATTATAGGTTTGTCCTACCACACATGCCCCTAGTCTGATTTAGGAGAGATCATTTTTGCCTAGTATTACTATGCTCCATGGTTTTCAAATAATTGGACTTCTTTCTACAAGTGACAAAAAATCTTTTGTCTCACTGCCTCTGCCTGTAGAGCTGGGCACAGTTAGCAGCTGGGCAGCCTCTCCTGAGAAAGCCCAGTCGACTTGGGCTTCTCCAGGCGTCCATCAGGTGGGCCTTGGGCTGAATCCAGTGCAGCACTGGGATCTGGCTGGAAAAGGGTAAATGCTCCAGCCTTCTTGCCATGTGTTTTCCACAAAGGCCTCAGGTTGAACTGTACAACTGTCTCGTCTGCCATGTCCATTTGGTCCCTGCCTTGTCCCTTTCCCTGTCTCAATTTCTAGCTCCCTCTTGCCCCAAAGCAATCATTCTGAAGTATAAAATAGACAATAGACATGAGTGTTCAAGATTCAAGGCCAGTTTGGAGTACATTTTTTTTGTTCCTATCTACATTAAGAAAGGAGGGCCAACCAAGCCAGGCGTGATGGCGCAGCCCTATAATCCTAGCACTTGGGAGGCTGAGGCAGGAGATTCGCTGTGAGTTTGAGACCAGCCTGGGCTACATAGTGAGTTCCAGATCAGTCTGAACTACAGTGAGACCCTGTCTCAAAAAACAAAAAACAAAGAAAAAAGAAAGGGCCAAGCTGGGCCTGGTGGTGCACGACTGTAATGTCAGGATTTGGGAGGCTGAGACATGAGGATCGCTGTGAGTTCGAGACCAACCTGGGCTACGTAGTGAGTTCCAGGTCAGTCTCAACTTCATAGTGAGTTGATCCCCAATACCAGGAAAAAAAAAAAAGGATATGCCTTTCGGGCCAGGGATTTGGTTCAGTGGTTCTGCTCCCTGTCTTGCAAGCACAAGGGCCCAAGTTCCATCCCTGGTACCACAAAAATAAATGAATAAATAAATAAATAATTGAATCAACTACATAGACAAAAAAAAAAAAGAGGGCCAATATTAATCTAAATATCATGTTTTTTTTTTGGTACCAGGGATTGAACTGAGGGCCTTGCATTTGCAAGGCAGGCCACCAAACTGCTGAGCTAAATACCCCCCACTCTTTTTTGAGACAGGGTCTCACTATGTAGTTGAGTCTGACCTGGAACTCACTATGTAGCCCAGGCTGGTTTTGAACTCACAGCGATCCTCCTGCCCCAGCCTCCCGAGTGCTGGGATTACAGGCGTGTGCCACCACACCTGGCTTTTCCTTTTTTTTTTAATATCATGGAAATTAATACTGAGTTCAGTATTAATCCTTTGGGGTAGCATTTTATCCTATTGCACAACAGGCGCTGAAGTTAAGTATGTGGTGGGGAGTACTGATAGAGATAGCAAAAATCAAGCATAAAATATGAAAATGCTAGTTAATTGATTTATAATTAAGCCCAGTTTTGCTATTAAGAAAGTAGAAGACAAAAAAA